TTTCTTTTAAATTTCATGAACCGTCAATGAAACACCGACAGTTAAGTAAACATTGAGTTGCTTTCCGGACCAGTTCTTTGAATATTTGGCCTGCCTATAAACAGTTTTGTGCTTTGCGCTTTCACAGAAAACACAACTGATAGTCCAGCAGGCAAGTGCTGCACAAACCAGAGTACAGGTGAGCCCGCAGTCACTGATGGGATAGATTATTACCACGACGACTTCGAAGACGTTGACAGTACTGCAGCTGACGCGTTATATGCAGTCTATGGTGCAGCCGCCGTCCTAGGCATCGTTGTTTTGGTTTACGCATGTAAATTGTGCCTCCAACGCAATCGCCGCTGGCAACAGGCTCGTCACTTCGCGACAATAGTTTTGCCGCCCCAGTTCCCAAACTCTATTCATAGAATGCAATTAGTGAACCAGGAGTAAAGAGACTCTGACAATGACGACTTATTTCCACTTACTATTATTATCAGTCATGGGTGGTAAAAGTGAAGATAAGTGATTTACAGGTAGAAAAACTGAGCCTTTTTAAACGCAGGTGTTGGTACAAGACTTTTTTCGTATTTCTTTGATATTAAACAAATAGATTACGAGCTCGAGATTTCTGTCCCGTAATAATTGACGAGGGTGCAGCCCGAGTCAGCTATTACGCATAAAAATCGAAAGCGAATAATCTAATAATTGTTTTAGCATAAATCTACTAGTCGTTCAAAACTTTAACTAAATCTTCTTCCCAGACACTTTAAAAACGCCAAGAAGCGTCCGTCATTTTGTTACCACCATAGTTAATAGACTATATATGTTTCACACTAAGTTGGCTCAGTTGGCCAGTTTTAATCTTTACTCTAATTCTGTATCAGCATAAATCAACACATTGTATTATCCTGTTTTAATGTGCATTTCCTTAGTCATTTGTGTAAAGTAAACTGAACATATAAAGTATCGCTTGGTTATCAGAAGGTGATAATGCAAAATAAAAACTGAACAGTTGTGTCTCGCGATCGTCCATTCCATTATCTCTTGAGATGACTAACTGTCTATGCAACGTAAGGATGTATCGAAACAAATTTTCGAGGTGAGATGTATTATACGCCAGACTGCGCTGATATACATGCCCCAAGTTATCTTTCCCTGACCTTCGACGAACGAAGGTCGCATTGGACCAAGGGAATGCTGAATGAATCCTTTGTGTCCCATGGCATTTCACCACTCATCACTACGGACTGGAAACGAGTCTTGTATAAAATTGAATATTGTCTTTTGTTATATTTAATGCTGTATGTTATATATAGCACAATTCCGAGAAACAACACTTCCGTTCCAAGAATACTATGAAACCAGCCAAACCGGAAAATTCCGGAATCGGTGTCAATCAAGCGGCCAAAGCTGAGTGTTTTACACGCCATTATATACATCTGCATGCTAAAGCTTTTTGTCTTTCCACTGTTATAATGTTCTCTCCAAGGGAGACTCTTGCCGCAGGATTTTTCATCCTGGTTTTTATAATTAGCCAACTAAGATCTTCAACTGCAGGTACTTTTTTTTTTAGTTAGCAAACCTTAAAACTACTTTTGAGACATATCTATTTGTGGTAGTCGTTAATTATATTAATTAAGTTCTTATATACCAGAAATTTCTATTTCACTGTGGTGAATGCAATTGATTCTTTATGGTTAAAGTGAGGAAGGCTGTTTTCCGTGATTCAAAAGTACATAACCCTAGATTTACGACCGTTCTGAACATTTTACGAGCAAGTGATCGCTCCCAGAATTGAGCCTGTATAAAATCCAGCTTGACGTCTAAAGACATCGTTGTCAAATCGATGTGATTGCTTGTCGCCATGGATCGCAACTTTGGAGATTGGTCAAACATCAAGACAGTCATTTTTTTGTTCTTCAGTGATCTCTCTGTTCAGTTTGTATGCCAGGTTAGATTTTGGCTGATCGGCGTTGTCCGGCATAAAACCACTGCTTTCGGTTGCTTGAGAGTTGTGGTTTGACAGATTGATCTGTTTGTTGGTTTCAAAAAGCGACCATTTCTTTCCGAGAATTTCTTTCCGAAATACCGTGAACATATGGACGCGCTACAAGCCATTCATTGTGTTTAACGAATTATCAGCCTGCGATTTCTCTCAAAATTTATGTAGACTTGCTACATTTCTATCTCGCTTTTTTTTGTTAGTTGATGAAATGTTTCTTGCTCATCAAGAACTACGAAAATAGTTTATCTCCTATAACATTGTTTCTTGATATGTTCAAGTCAGAGGTGGCTAAATTAGCGGGAAGCAAACAAAATAGGTACGTTTGCACATTTCTTAGCCGTGCTCTGCAAAACAACAACGTTAAATAACCAGACTGCGTAGTCTGAGGAACGCGAGCGGCGACGGCTAATTTATACATTTTCCTCTGGTATTTTAGCGTCACATTCCTCACTGGATTTTGTGTGTTAAGTGTCGGGGGACGCGTATTGCGAAGTCGTGAATGGTCGTTTCTTTCTGTTTATACTTTACGGCAGTTTCGTTTGATCTCTCTCGCTTGCAACCCTACAGTTATTATCCTTCAAGACGGTCACGTTCTCTATTTTACACGAGTATAACACGTCGATCGAGGATGCCTACTCCCGGAGCTAGCCTTACAGAACCTAGTGTTGCAGTACTTCTAATCCCGGAGATTCGCCTGTCATAAACGAAGTCTTCTCGATGTTCAAAAGCTATCTTGAAGTTAAACTGGATGGGAAGAGTAAACAGATCGCGAGTCGAAGTAGAAGGTGGACGAGCAGGTTACTCTCATGAAATTCAAAGGTAACCAGAAGCAGTTTGAACATAATGCCCAGATCGACTCAATTTTTGATAGATTGTCCCCTGCAAATGTTCCTGAAAACAAAGATCCGACTTATTTTATTGTCGAAATCCGTAAGCGCCAAAAGTTGATCCGAATAGCCGATAAGAGTGCCGACGGTTGGAGAGTAGTGGACGAGTATGTCTCTGATGAATTGGCCTCCGGTTCCGAGGACGAGAAGCGGTTAAAGAGGGCTAAGGACGCGGCAAACCGTAAACGAAGGCAAGCCACGCAAGCTCGCCACGGGCCAGAAAAGAGAACCAAAACCTCCCTTTCGTCAACAGATCAGCAGCTTTTTCGCGGTGAACCTACATATAGCATTATATTTTTGTGTTTCCTCCAATATTGCTTGTGTTCTGTTGTTTCAAGTTCTAGCTGGGGTACTTTGTTTATTCTCTATTCTTTAGGGTCCGCATGCCATCCACCCATGCTTCGTTGTTCCTGTTTTTGCGGATATTTAAGTGGTAAATAATTTACATTCGTTTGAACGTAGTGAATTAGAACGTAATTCGTATTTCCATTTGGCATTGAACGCTCTCATTGCAGACGCTTTTAGAGCCATTGGCGCACTGGACAGATCTAGACAATTGCAAATTTCTCTGGTAAAATATAAGTCCATTTTTGACTATATAGAACCCATATAGCGTTATCCTCGGCGTCGCTGTCGTCGTTGCTCATAAGTTCCCTAACAAAACGTTTTGCTGCCGCGATTTAAGCCTTGGTGGCTAAACGCGGACACACTGTTTCGGAAAACAAAGGTTCACGGATGTGCATTGTAATAAACTGACGTCCGAAAAGGTCTGGAGAAGGATTTTTTTCACATTTTCGTCTCGTCCCCATAAATTGTGACCTCCGTCAGAATATTCTATTTGCTTTTGTAATCGTCCCTTGTGATACCATTTTTCTCTAACATCGGTGTATCGATTTGACAGTAAGCCATTTCCCTTTTATTTCTATTCATGGGGTCTTCACGAGCTACATCCCACAAACAAGCCCTGTCCTTTTAATAGGTAATGAGTAACTCCATCTCCTCGTCTTTCCAATTCCTTTCCTTCTTTTTCTTCCCTTTTCCATCACCTGCTTGTGGCTTTTCTACTTCGACTTTGCCGTCAGCCATTGTTGTACGCTCACCGTTGCTGGGAAACATTTTTAATGAGCAGCACTGGAAACTAGTCAAAATTGTTTTCATGAAGACCAAAAACTTCCAATTTGTATCTGGGAAGCAAAGCGTTTGGAAGCAAAATTTCCAATTTGTGTTTGGGAAGCAAAAATTTTTTTTGACCTAAGACAAACACATATTTGTTTCCGAGCAGCAAAATTTGTACATCTGTTTCCTGCGCGGCTAAACTGGGAAACATTTACCTCCGCAACTATGTTTCCTAATTTAGCCAGGCCTTTCAGTATTAGTTTTGTCGCAGGGAGACTACAAAACAAATTTAAAAGGGAAATACCTTGTTGCGCCTCACAAATATATCGTTGTAGTTATCACTGATAATCATAATCGGATAATGGTCATTTGAAGTTGATTGGTCGAACAAAAATGATGTATATCTCTCACGAGTCTTCACAATTCCCGATATCAATGGATCCAAACGTCACGTTCAAGAAAGTATGAACATGCAAGACTCCTTAAGTTTCTCTACACTTTCGGTTTTCCATAAAGGAATATGCCTTCGTTGAAATGGGTTTTAAAAATATATAATAAGCTTTACCAAGGCTGTAAATAGAGGAGAAAAGGGGGCTTGTTAGTCTATTCGTGGCCACATTGTGTTGAAGCCAAGTTTGGGGAAATAACTTACACAATAATTTAATGTTATTTTGGATCGGGACCTTTCTGTAGATCACCTACGGGTGAGAAAGCTTCCCGTTAAAATATCATTAAACAGCACTCCAGCTCTTCGTTACTTCACTTTTTATTCTTCAGCTTCAGTACGCAGTTGTTGAACAACTTTGGCAATTTATAGTCTTGACTGATTGGAACAACTATACGAAGAGTTCACTTATCACGTTCCCTTTAAAGAGACAACCACATGATCTATCAACAACTGTCAATATATCATTTTCTTCGTTTTAGGCTAACCTAGTAGCATGCGCAGATCGCACGGAATACCAACGCGATTACGCGCCAAGCTACTTAACATATTTTCCTTCGAGGGTACAAAGGTTGACTAAAACATTTTCTACTTAGATTTTAACCAAGTGTTCCTTAGTGGTTGACCAAAGTAAGGTAACGTGAGTAATATAAAAGTAACAATCTTGGAACTTAAAGATCACACTAACTTAGAAAGTAAAAGCTGTTGTTAAATATTTCTTACAGCATAAGTGTTACAAGAAGAAGATTGCACAATTCCAACTTCGAGGGCACAGTAGCCTTTCTTAAATTCTGAACCCGCTAGTTCCATATCATCATTTGTACGTGCTCTTAAGTTCAAACATATTCAAGGGTCACCATTTTGTTTTTTGTGGTGTGGGCACAATTCCTTTTTGCTTTTGTGCAAGGTGTGGGCAAGCTACTAATTTTAACCAAACAGCCGATTTTCGATGTTAAAAGGTCGTCAAAATGAATAAGATTTAGCTAGACAATTAGATAACAAAATTCTGATAGGTTATGGAATCCAAAATCACTATTTCCAGGAAGAGCGCTTTTGAAAACTAGACCTCGATTTTATTTCATTATCTAGACTGACGCCCGTAAGAAAATTAAACAAGGTAACGGTAAATACAGGTGGAAATTCCCGAAATGATGGTGCTCAATGGAGTATGAATGAACTCAAGTTTTCCGTCAAAAGTATCAGTTAATGACACAATATCAAGAGAAGGTGCTTTATTCATAATGTTAAAATCGATCATCTTGAGACCGCGTTGTTTTTTCTCTCCTATGATAGTCAGTCAAAAGTCAGTCTCTTTAAAGCCAAGATATGTGATGATGACATATGCCCCAATGTCTTGCTGACAGGCATTTTTTAGATCATATGTTTTTGCACTGTCAATTAACTTTATCCTTCTGGGACTTATTCCAAACATGGTGGACTAACAAAACTAAAGAAAATGTCACATTAACAGAGAGCATGATTCTGTACGGAATTTTCGACAACAGAGAACACCTATACGTACTCCGTCAATTACTCACTTCTTATAGTAAAGTACTCCATATATAGTAGCTGCTTACAAGAAAAAAACTTTGTTTTCACAGTTTTCTCACGCTTCTAAGAGAAAAAAATCAATATACAACGGGAAATTGCTGTGCATAATGAAGATTTCTTTTGTAACTTCTTATTTTTCTTGTTTTTGCTTTACTTTTCTTTTCTTTTTTACGCTTTACTAATCCATAGATTAATGTGAAGTAGCGAAGTAGCTAAGTAAACAAAATTTATTTTGTGAAGTAGATACGTACTTAATATTCTCAACTGTAGTTCAAGTAGTCAGGTAAACAAAAAGAGTTATTTATAAGTAAGAAAAAAAAATTTAAGTGAAAAAAAGACGAGAGACCCTGGGAGAAAAATATTAGGAGAGGGTATAATTTGATCAGCATCGAAATAGTTTATCTATTTTAATCTCAACAGCCATTTTGGAATGGATGCGGCGTTTAACCAAACAATTAATGTTAAACAATAAAAATGCAAGCTAGAATGTATTCGACATATTTATCTGCTATTTATTAAATTATTAAGGGAAAACTTGTCTCTTGGGGCAGCTAAATTATTGAAGCAGTTATAATATAATCGTAGGATATTTCAAGGTGTTAAAAAGAGTACTTAAGGCTAGGTTCCTGATCTATGCTTTCCTATTCTCATTTTGTTGTAGCTGACGGTGCTTGTAGCACCGGCGCCAGCAGCACTCTGGGAGACGGATGCACCATTAGTGACGACTGCAGCAAGATCACGTGCAAAATGGATTTTGTCGACGAACCGATCACATTTAAGCTCGAGGTAATCGGAAAATTCTAGCCGGTTGGTTCCACGCTCACTTACATATTTTTGTCACAATGATTTTGAATCGATCTCAATAGTTTTGTCGCAAAAAGTACCTCATTAGTGAAATATCGTGTTTATATACTCGCTTTTCTGAAAGACATCTCGATTGACAAAATCAATCCTAGTTTCAGGACTGCGTTAGTCACCGTTTCATTCTCAGTCTGGAAGCATTAGCTCTCCTTACTAACCTTAATGCATTTTATTTAAATTCATTGAGAATCTGCCGTGAAATCAGGACAATTGTCACTTGGCAATCAGTCAGCTCTTGTCTATTTAGCCGGAATTTCAAGATTTTGGCTTACAGTTATTCAGAATTCCCAGCTATCGAAACAGAACCTCCTTTCTCAGACAAAAATTTCCGAGATTTCAGGTAATAGTCACGAGGACCTGCAGTGGCAATGTACAGTGCGAATCTCAGAAATGAACAAAACAAACACCTAGACATGATGGGACACTAATTCAAAACTAATCAAAATATTAACGAGCTGAAAAAGAACTTCAAAAGATTTCAGTACAAACCGGATTAAACAAGAGTATTAATTTTATTACCTGTTAGGTCAATAAGTGTGATGACCCAGTCAGTGTAACCGCGACAATGGACGTCCCAGATCTGCGTATCACCTGGTCTCATACTTACACCAGTGACGACATTGTAGAAGTACCAGGCTTCACTGCTTCCTTGCCCTCTATCGTTTCCGCTGGTGTGTACGTGCAAGTCGGGCTCACTCCCAAGGGCGACGAACTCCGTGTAAAGGTTGGTACTTCGTGTAGAACTCATGATCAGTCATGGCATTTTTTGTGAGCCCCAAAATTCTACCCATTTCAAAGTTACACTTTTTTACATCATCTTCTCAAACTCCAAGAAGTGACATTCGAAGTGACATTAATTCGTTGCAATTTTAAAAGCTGTTAAAGAGCTCAGCGGTGTAAATACGTAGAACACACTGTGCAGCATTGGTAAATGTATCGCGCGTTGTCTCAACCTCGTTCCCAGGGTCCTCTCAGTACTTTCTCGATGTAGAAAGAGGACCCAGGGAACGAGGTTGGCGGTATCTGTGGCAAACGCTAGAATGACACCATACCATTCTGTGCACTCTCAGACAATGAGAGGGCTAGAAATCTGACGTCAGTTTTTGCTGTCTTTGAACAGGTGAAACTCCTGGCTGGAGGAGAGATTTTGGGAAAAGGCGTTTATCCTGTGAAGGCGACCGTGATGGAGGGAGACCTGCCAATTAATACCAATGCATGTGGTACGTGTGACTTACCTTGTTTTTCTTTTAAAAACAACCTTCTTTACAAGACAAGAAACGTTTTACACATATCTCATTAGCCTGTATTCTGATTACATGTTTAATTCTCCTAGGCTCTCCGTGTGTTTCGAGTCCTAATGATTTGAAGTGAAAGAAAAATTCACAAGAAAATTCTGCTCAATCTCCCTCCATAATGAGGATCCTTCGATTCTATTGCAATTATCTGTGTAAAACGTGCCTTGATATATTGAAATGTATATCCTTTATTTAAATACTCTTCATGTAAACATTTCTTTATTAAGGTGCCCTGGCTTGGTGGCATGAAATGAACGATGGTAGCAAGGGAGCTGTGGTTGGCGGCTCGATTCTCTTCGTCATCATCATGATCATCTGCTGCTATTGCTGCTGCTGCAGGTCCCGACCGAACAATCAAGGGGTCATCCTCATGCAACCTGCTGGTGGCCCTTCTGTCATTACAACTAGCAACAACGCCAACGTTGCTATGGGACCTCTGGCCCACAAAACTTGAGACGCTACTTGCTTTGCTGTAACCAGTCCTGAACCCAGAGCCTTTATTCCTTACTGCACATGCTAATATGTAGACAGACTTACCTGACATTTTGAATTCAAGTAGTAAAATTGGACTCCCATATTGTGTAAATTTAAAATGTCTCCAATAGTGAAGGTGGGCGCCATGCTAATTTCATAATCCGACATAACGTGCCCGGGTCGCAGCACAATCTCTCTAGCCGCCTTTCTTTTCTTTTTCTTTCAATAACAAAATGAAGCCGTTGTTACTGAGTTTTCCTACGTAAAAGTTTCTGTACAAATTTTTAAGTAGCGCAGCTCACTAAAAGATTATCACAGGAATGCCAAGATACATGTATTTCTGACAACAAGAGCTCGATAAATCAAAGTGTTCTCGATAGATGTTAGGCCAACTTCATAAAATGCTTTGTTCTCCATCCCCTGACCACCCAGATCTGGTTCTATTGTTTTTGTTTTTGTTTTGTTTTACCTTTCTTTTTTAATAACGGAAAACTAAAAAAACTGTTCGATTTATTGCTTGCTCCCACCTTTTAGTAATGATAATGGTTATTGATTCGTTACTCAATAATTGCTTACCGCGTCTCTGGCTCTGTTTGGTTATGATAGTAATTAAGTGTTTTAATGTACACCTAAAATGGTTTAGTTAATATAGATTTAGAATTTCTGTAACAGAAAGCCCAGCGGTAGGTGAGTTTAGATAAGCTCTTTTAGATGGACATCTTTGAATCCAGTAGTTCAAGCGAGAGCTTCCCAACCGCCTTTCCTAGGTTTCAGGTGCTACTACTTTTGAAGCTTTGTAATAAATGATTGTGTACCCCATCTCTGAGTTCGTTTCTTCGTGATAGTATCGTGATTATCTCAGATCGTGACTAAAACACCACACGAGAACAAACGAGTAAAATACGAGTACATACGAGTACATACGAGTAATATACAAGTACATACGAGTATATATGAGTAACATACGAGTACATACGAGTAACGTACGAGTACCATGACGAATAACATACGAGTACATACCAGTAACATGCACATGTGCTCGTATGTGCTCGTGTGGTATTATAGTAACGATCCGATCGTCTCATAGTTTTTACGGCAATGTCGTCTCACTTTCGCCGCGCGTGATTGGTTCAAAGATTGAAATTGACATCGCAGCACTGAAATGAGTTACTCACGTAGGACTTTACAGCGATGAATGGCTGCCAATTTGCACCGGCAGTTGAAACATCTTTTACTGTACAGTAGCCCATCTCTACGAGCTATTTAATGTAAAAGAAAGCGTTATGTAATTTTTCTGCAAAGGTCAACCAAAAATTGCAGCCAGCAGGATTCATAATATATAAAAATGGGTTTCATTGTGCAGTAAAAGTTGCTGACCTAGTCCATTTCACAAATATCCGAATATTTTTGGGGATATTTACAAGTTTCCGAGATATTTAGAAAATATTAAGATATTTAGAAAATTTAGGGATATTTAGAAATATTCGTAGCTTTTTTTAACTTAGCCCTGTGTTTTCCACGCTATTTTCTTGAGTCTTGCATAAAATAAATATAGTATTCTGTTAATGTCTGTATGTTATATATAACGACACCCCTGTTCTAAGAATACTACAAAACCGGTCAAACCGGAAATCCCGGAACCCGTGTCAATCAAGCGGTCGACGCTGAACGTTCCAGACGCCATGATATACATTTGCATATTGTAGCTTTTTGTCTTCCTCCGTTGAAATGTTTTCTCCAAGAACCACTCTTGCCGCAAGATCTTTCATCCTTGTTTTTAGTCAACTAATTTCTTCCACTGCAGGTAATTTTACAGACTAACTTTATGTCATATCAGTTTGTGGTAATCGTTAATTATTTCAGTCGGTGTAAAGTTGAGTTCTTCATTACTGGAAATTTCCACCCCTTTGTGTTGATTCTTTATACGGAAAGTAAGGAAGACTGTTTTCTGTGACTTAGAAACACATAGCAAGAGATTTATAACCGTTCTTAACATTAGTCTGTTTTTAAATCCTCTGGAATCAGATGATAATATGATTATTCCCAGAGTTGGGCCTGAAAATTCACCTTACGTCCAAAGACTTCAACGTTGCCAAAGTCGATTTGATTGCTCCTTTTGTCCTTAGAGATCGCTACTTTGGAGTTTGATCGAACATTAAGACAGATTTTTGTGTTATTTAGGGATTTGTCTGGTTTACAAAGTATGCAAATTCGGACTGTTTGCAATTCACTTTGCATGCCACGCTAGATTTCAGCTGATCGGCACTGAACTGCATCAATGATTGCTCGTGGTTGCTTGTGGTTTGTAAGAGAGTTTGATTTGTTGTCTATTTTAATAAGCAGCCATGTTTTTTCAGAGATACCCTGAACATATGGGAGCCACTGGTTATCGGTTTGTTGGATTTCCTAGCCAGTGCTCCGCCTTGCATAAAGGACAAGAGATTCTTGATTCCTTGTAGTACCGCTTTGACTTGTCTAGTTTCTTCTCGCTTTCCCTCGTTGGTTGAAATGTTCTTAGACCAGCCCTATAAAATGTTTCATTTCCCATCGCCTGACGCATCCAGTTTCTCTAAAAAAATAATATAAACATGGTTTTGATCCATTGCCTTCTCCCATTTTTCGGTGTTTCAAAGTTTAATACACTCCCCTTGTATACATCTTCAAGTGACTCTGCATCTAAACACCGATCTAAATCAACCTTCGTACATAAGCTGAAGTCTTCGAACGCCTTTCGGTGTGACAGTTGCTCTATGCAAAATGGCAGTCACGGCCGTCAAGATCTAATCAAGCTCGCTTGTCTCTCTCAATACTTCTTTTCTTCGGTTTTTGTTACATTTTCTTTTTTAAACTGTGACTGACCGATCGAGCGACTCACTTTACGAGAGAGGTCGATGGAAAACAAAACATTTTATGTTGATGGCCTCGCTGATCATTAATTGTTATTAAATGCGTAGGCAGTCTCCTTAAATTTGTAAAGTTTGTCATTTATAAAAAAAAAAAGCAAAGGACTTAAATGTAAAAATTACCAACTGAAGTTAACGAAGACGATATAAAAAGGAGTTGAATGAGCGATAGCTTTTCGGTATTTGTTACGCAGCTAAGTTTGATTGATCACAGGGGAACATTTTAAGAAGTTAAGTTTTTCCAAAGAGGCTGCAAAATAAATTTACAAGCAAAGAAAAACTTGCTGTGTTGACCAAGGTGCTTCTGACCCATTGGGAAACAGTACCTTACAAATGTATTATTGTTATTAAAATCATTATTTTAAAAACCCGCATAAAAGAAAACGTGTTTTGAGGTTTCAGGCTGATTTTATTCTTATATATCAGGTGTTTTCTGCAAAATCAGCCTGAAAATGTTCTTAAGGTGTTCTTAAATACTGTATAGACTACCAACAGATGAAATCAATGTGCAAGCACAACATTCTAATTAATTAAGGGATATCACATATATTGATCTACTTATTACTGTACTTAGTGCTGTACCCTAGTAGGTTATTCTAATCTAACTGGCAGCCAATTTTTTTATATAAAAGAACAATTTTCATCTTTCAGGCTGAATGTGTTCTTATGTATAAGGTACTTTTTTGACCAAATTTCAGCCTGAGTGTTCTTAATCCACTTGTTCTTTTATGCGGGTTTTTACTGTACCATGCACAAGTAAGGATGACCGCGCAAAACTCTAGGTTTCGCTTTACTTTCGGGTTTCCATAAAGGAGTGTAACCTGTTTGAAATGGCTAGTAAAACTTAATGTAAACTTTACAAAGGCGGTGGATGGAGAGAGAAGTTCGTGAGCATCGAATACATTACGTCACCACGACTTGTTCTGGCTTGTTATGTTATTCTTTTTCTCAGTGTTGCCCCTTGTTTGGAAAGTTATTCCAGAAGGGCTTCTGATATCTCAGTTAAGGCAAAGTCAGTATGTGAGCCAAGTGGCCCATCAGGCCAGCGCTTACCTCCGGTTTCAATAGTGACCAGGAGTATTTCTACTCCCCCCTGGATGGGATGCTAGTCCATCGCAGGGTTGCCCCCAGCATTAAATTCGCCGGTACCCACTTATACACCTGGGTGGAGAGAGGCACTGTGAGTGTTAAGTGTCTTGCTGGTATCTTAGACGTGATAAACTAGTCTCAATTCCTTTTTAGTTGACGCTCTCTGTAGCACGGGTTCCCGAAAAACCCTCAGTGACGGATGCACCATTAGTGACGATTGCAGCACGATCACCTGCAAAATGGATTTTGTCGACAAGCCAATCACTTTTAAGCTCAAGGTAACCACTTTTTTATATGACTGAGAAAATTACTTCACTGTGTTTGGCTGAGAGCAGTCCAATTTTTCGTTAATTCTTACAGTTTGCAGTGCAGTGCAAATTAACGCGCGCGTGTTCGTAATTTTCTCAGTCCTATTGTAAATTAGTGGTCGTATGAAAGCTCTAGCAATTAAGGATTTACACTACTCGTGATATTTAAAAATTCTTTCAAATATCACGAGTAGTGTAAATCCTTAATTACACTCGCATTCATACGGTTATATATACTAATAGTTCAAAATCTATAAGAAAGACTTCAGTTCTTAAATCAGAAATTCTCGCCATTTAGTTGTACGTTTACTTACATATTTCAGTGTCGCAATAATTCTGAATCGATCTCAATAGTTTCATCGTAGAAAGTACCTCATTTGTGAAATACTTCGTTTATACTCGCTTTTCAAAAAGACGTCTCGATTGACAAAATCAATCCTAGTTTCTGGATTCGCGAGTCACCTTTTCATTCTCAATCCAAAAAGTAATTCTCCTTATTCATCGGGAAACAATTCATTTTATTTAAATTCTTAAAATCTGGACATAATTCAGGACAACTGGTACTTTTCCTTACAGTAGTAAATTGATCATCAGTGAGCACATTCAGCCAGAATTTCACGATTTTGGCTAACAGTTGTTAGGTTTGATGCTATCAATACAGAACCTCACTTCTCAGGCAAAATGTTCTGAGCTATCAGCTAATTAAACCTCAGATGGACCGTGCAGTAACAAAGCATTGAAGATGTAAAAATCTCAGAATTGAACAAAAACTGGACCCACATACACGTGATAGAAAAAAAGAATAAATACCAAAAAAATTAATATATGTGTGGAAAAAAAAAAAACCAACTGAAAAGAAAAAAATACCGATTTTATTAATCTTTCAGCTTAAACTTGGCTAAACATGTTATTAATTTTATTACCCGTTAGGTCAATAAGTGTGATGACCCGGTGAGTGTAACTGCCACAATGGACGTTCCAGACCTGCATATTACCTGGTCTCATACTTACACCAGTGATGACATCGTGGCAGTGCCAGGCTTCACCGCTTCCTTGCCTTCTTTCTTCTCCGCCGGTGTGTACGTACAAGTCGCAGTTACTCCTAAAAGCGACGAACTACGTTTAACGGTGGGTTGGTACTTTGTGTAGAACTCATGATCAGTCACGACAATTAACATAATTGATCCATGCTTTTGCAAGCGATTTGGCGAGGACCGCGACAAAACTCGTTCCCAGGGTTTCTCTTCTTTCAGAGAAACCGTGGGAACGAGGTTGAACCGCAACCTGTTTTAACATATAATACATACAT